GGACGCTTAACCGACTGCGCCACCCAGGCGCCCCTATAGTCACCCATTTAAAGGGAATAGCTCTATTTGGCCTCAAAATGCATAGAGTGAGTGGGTCCTGCCAGGAGGGACTCAACTTTGCAGAGCACTTAGCACTGACAAGGACTGGGTGAAGACAGGAAGGGTTGAAGAGGGGGAGAGAGGAAATACTGGGATAGAGCTCTGGCAAAATGTGTTCCGGAAAATAAACAGAGGGCTGAAGAGCAAGGGGGCAAGAATATATGTCAGTGAAAATGTCAAAATCTGATAATACCCATCGTTCGGCAGTGGTATAGGCAGAGAGGACTTCTCCTCCCATTTCCTGAATGGGCATAGCCATTCTGGAAAACAAGCTGGTGTTACAAAGTTAACAGTGAACTTGTGGTAGACCATCCACTTGTAGATGCATACCCTGGAGAAACTCCAGAACATGTGCTCCACACCACGTGCAGGGACGTACATCAGCAGTGCTGGTCAAAGCAAGGCACCTGGGTGGCTGAGCATCCGCTTTCAGGCTCAGGTCACGATCTCACTGTTCATGAGTTCATAGTTCAAGCCCCGCATCGGACTCACTGCTGTCAGCACAGAGCGTGCTTCTTCAGATCCTCTGTCACCCCCACTCTCTGCCTCTCCCTCGCTCATGCTCTCTCTCAAAAATAAATAAAATGTTAAAAAAAAAACTAAAATAAAAAAAAAAATCGTGGTCAATCCATTCAGTGGACACCAACTCTAGCTATGTGAGTTAACATGGCGAAACCACAAAACCCTAATGTGGAATAGAAAAAGCAAGTTGCAGGAGAACTTACATACAGTAAGATTCCACTTATATAAAGATCCCACACTGGCAAAACGAAACAATGTGTTACTTAGGGGTGCATGCGTATGTGGCAAAACTACTAAAATACATCAAAGAAATGATTATCACAAAAGTCCAAGTAGTAGCTGCAAAGTTACTGGTGATGTTTTATGTCTTGAAGGCAGTGTTCATTATATTATTATTGTTTAAACCTTACACATGACTATATATTCTTCTGTGTGTACTATTTATTTATAATTCTTAAATAATTTGAGAAAAAAGTATAGACGGATGGAGAGTCAGAGGTCATGGGAAGGTGCGTGGGCTGGGGGGCGGGTAGGAGGAGAAGGTTACACGTCGGCTGAACTAAGGCCACTATTTCAGAATTAATTTGGGGGTTTCGCTCAAGGATGCCAAATGGTGGGGCGCCTGGGTGGCGCA